GCTTCATATCAGCTTGTGGTGTTGCTAATATGCATGTTACAGTTGGCATCGGTGCGCAAGTGAAAACAACTGGTTACATAAATGTCTTCAACTCTCCAGCATATGTCTGTGTGTGTCACATTTGTACATTAATTTTTCGTCATTTCATGACGTGTGGCTCAATAAAAAGTTGCAACACGGTCACCTTTTTTCCGCATGCTTCGCACAACGTGGATTTGCCTGTATACGTAGGATCTCCCGATTTTTAAAATTTTTGATTATTAGAATAATTTTGCCCACACAATCCTGTCTGTCTCTCCCGCCTTCCTCTGATGGCAACGGAGTGTTACGAAAACAGTTTTAATGACTATTTTGCCAGCTTTTTCTCAGTCCCACACTCGACTACGTTTAAGGAAGAACAAGAAACTGATATTCGTTCAGGGCCCATTTTCGTCACGGCATTGCGTTTTTGAGCCACTGGCCACTTTTGTGTTCGTGATGGCCTTCTGTACAACACCAATGATTCGGATAAAGGTTCACGCTTCATTTTAACCGTGACATGAAGTATCCTATACTGAGAGACATGCACGATGATACGACTGCTGGTCATACGGGCTTCTTAAGAACTTTGAATCGGGTACAAGAACGTTTTCACTGGCCCAGAATGCGAGACAAAGTCAGGTACTTTGTCACAAGTTGCCTACAATATGAATGCTACAATTGTTCAACTCCTTCGTCGGATCTTCTCCAACCACTGCCACCACCTCGTCTACCACGTGAACAAGTTGGTACCGACCTTTTGGGACCATATATCATTGTTAATTGCTTGAAAAACTTGACGTACCCAGTCGAAAGCTTGATGTCCGCTGGTCGTCGTTCCAGCTGGACCCAGTTGATACATGTTGCCCGTATCAAGCGGTTTCACTCTACGCTTCGGACGAGCCCAGCGGGTTTCGTCTGGAATCCGGGTAATGCAAGGGTATGAGCCAAGATAGAAGTAGAAGAAGAGGACATTTGTTGGAACCAAGGACCAAAGGTTTGTTTTTAAACGAAAAAGCTGATTCTCTTGCGAAGGCATTGCTTTCGACACCCATCATTCCTATTTTCCCTCCTACAGTACACATTACGGGGGCGCGATTTCGCACACTTAAAATCAGGCAAAATTTATCACATCCTGCACTGACGGCTTTTCCAGAGAACAGCCACTTGTTATTTTCCTGGCGCAGTGAACTGTCTAATTCAAGGACGATGGAAGGTGTCATCACAAAATTTTGTTGCCGCGTTACCTCCCTCAGTTTTAACTCGCACAGATCAGGTTTATTGAATTTTCCTATGTGCATTTACTGTTCTCAAGACAAACTATCCGTCATTTTTTATTACATTGTCGCCGTTTCAATTTATTCAAGGAAAGCATACTAGCACCACCTCTTCAAAAACTGGGTTTGCATTTATCACAGTCTGATCTCCTTACATTTGGAGCCTCTACACTGGGTTTCAGCCGCAGGGATGTTTTATTCGCCGTTCAGGAATACATCACTGCGACTAAACAAATTTCTTGCTAAATTACGGTCTCACTATTTTTTCTTTATTGCTTTTTCTACAAATTTGCAATTTGCATTCCAAATCATAATTAATTAACAAAACTTTTTTAGCAATGAAGCAATGCTGAAAGTATCGGGCGAATTCATCTTATAATCGGCCAATCTCCTCCTTTAGGTACGAGCCATTTGCAGAGGAAAAAAAACAACAACAGCCAACCCACGCCATCATTGCCTGTAGGTCAACCTCGCCCAGTGAATAAACCCCGTTCAATCGCAACTGTAATATCATAGGACGCATGTTCTGTTGCTGAATGCGACAGTAACTTTAACAGCACGACGCAAATAGGCAATGTTATGTTAATGAGGTCAACAAATATCCAAGTATGTCAGGAGCACAAATGTTGTGCAGCTGCCATAAACACGTTTACGAAAGCGACAGATTGAGACAGCCTAAATGAAAAGATATGCTAGATATATTCCGAAATTTTCTCCTGTTTTCGAAGTTCGGGTTAAACAATGACGGCATAAACTGAGTTTCACCTTCTTTGAAGTGGCAACGTCCGGCACACGATGGTGCTTTGAAAGAGCGTGATGAAAACCGATACAAAAATAAATTATGGCAATGAGATAAAGAGATAGCAATGATTTCGTAGTTGAATTTTTATCTGTGATCGCTAATTTAAACAATGCCAGATAGTTGCCCGAAAATCGCACTACATACAATGACCTACCGAATAGCGGTGTAGCTAATCTGAAGACAAACCGATTGAGTGTTTTATTTCAACTTGTGGCTCTTACAGAACTTACCTAACTCAGTTAAATTTCACCTCTAAAGTCAACTATGATTTTGTGGTCACACTAGGAGAGTTATTGCATATTTCGTTTGCTTTCAAATAACATATGTAGAAGTTAACCTATAGGCAGACAATCGTATAGTGCTACTAGGTTTTTGAAGTTCATCAATTATTGCGCAGTTCAGTACTGCCCACTGATGCTGTGGTGCCAGCAAGATTATTCCAATTGTTTGCCTCGACGATCCTTCAATTTCAGGCCACCAATGTTCAGAACGCAAACTACTTTACGTGTTACGACATACCGACATACCGTATCAGTAACACAAGCGTAAACGCGTGACTGACTTTTCCTTCCTTTCATTAAAAGCGATCTTGCGCAATCTTATAAAGAGGTGCACAACGGCCTCGCTGAAGTATATACGCACATCTTTGTTATTGCAGAGTAAACATCTTTTTCATTGCGGATAAACATCTTTATGGTAAGATATTTTCGGGTGTCATAACGCAATATCCTTCGTTATGTAATATTGTAAAGCTACGAAAGAAAGAACTGGGAACTTAAGTGCTTGGACGCTTTCTTTTTCCACGACCCAATATCAATAAAAACTAGCAGAATATTTTGCCAAGGACAGTTTTAGAGGAATGTAATGTGAATATAAAGAAAGAAGAGTGGACAAAAAGAAAACTTGCCGATGGCAGGCACCCACCTGCGACCATCGCATATCGCGTCCAATACTCTAAGCCCCACATAACTTAGCTACGGCTGCGGTCATCCCCGCGTCCACTTAATGGGGTACATCAATCTGGAAGTGTTAACCAGCATTGTTACTAGCAATGAAAGCAAGTGGGGAACAATCCTTTTCCGCCTGTTGGCAAGTGTTGCACACTCGCAGTGAGAACCTATTTTCCCCCCTCTTAGTAGATTACCATATCACAATGCGAGAAAGCCCACTCGTGCTGCAAAAAGACGCATGGTTGTAGACAAAATACCCGAGAGGATATTACGCAAGGCAACACTATACTTTGATTCCTGCGCCAGATGACCATGACCTTGTTGACTTTGACGGGGTTCCTCTTAAATCGCTTCTAGAAAAAGGCTTGGGGGCTATGCTGACCCGATCGAAAAGAACTTTTTTGTTTATTTTCGAAAGCAACAGCTTTGGTTCTCTATTGTTGCCGACTAGATAGCTTTTACGAAGGTCACGCATTTAGGGCACGCTGGGAATGAACGGCAGCCCACAATGATGGCAGCGTCGAGCTGTCAAAGTGCACGAGCTAGCGTTTGGTACCAGATATTGAGATGGCTATTGTTTGTGACCTATGTCGAGAGAGGGTGAAGTACTGTTCCTATACTAGCCTGGAGAAGTTCTCAGAAATTTAAACGATACAGTCAGCCCTTAGTCCTGCCGATGCAATTTAGAGAGGTAGCGCATTAACCGAAGATAAACTGTTTCAACACGGGATGAGCAGACGTAATTTGCGACAATGTACTCACTGAATGGCGCAGATCAACGTGGGCTGAATGGAAACAGTTCAAAAGCTTGCAAACTAGTGGAGATCACAGCTACCGCCTTACGCTCACTATAGTTATTACGGAGTGCCACTCCTGGGCACTTGCTTCCCTTGGATCTGATAATGAGCCACCTTGACATTCCCACTACCCAATTCCTATGCGAAAGGCTGCGGCGTCCATGCGGTACGGCCATCGTGTTCCATTAGCCAAAAATTGGCCAAGCTTAAAGTAAGCCGGGAAAGCCTTGAAAGGCCAAACTCAACAATTTCCAACAAGAATCTAGTTGCATATAGATTGTTTGTTGGCCTTAGCTAGGTCAAGGAAGTAGATTCTAGGAAAAATTAAGGTCGTAGGCCAAAAAATCCCCATATGCCAGAACTAACGAACCTGGTGTGGTAAAAAAAGTTGGACTGTGACATTATGGGCTGCTTTCCTTGATCACAAACTTTATTCAAACACGCATTAGCATTTCTAAAACTCAGATGCGTAAGGAAGCGGCACTTTCATGAAGTTTGTTTAAGACACCCTCCAGATTTAAGTGACTGGTATATTTCACGGGGGGGGGGGGGAGTTTAGGGCTGCATGTTGGGCGTTATTTTCTGTGTTAAGCATACTTCACAACTAAACGAACACGTTACGCTACGCGCATGCACATGAAAACGGTTGGGTTGGTGCATACAATGTTTCATGGCCTTATGAGTTAACATCATAATCTAGAAAAAACCCAAAAAAACGTTAACTTAATAGCCCAAGATGGCAGCACCCACGTGTCTTAGATAAAATAGTCTCTCAGGAAATTAAAATACTCATTCATGTTTTTCTAATAAAGAAACCCCTTCAACGCAATTTTGCTCTTCGACGAAACTAGGCGGCATTGTGCATCACCGTGCTCTGAAGGAACCAGAAAGGCAAAAGGTAGTGGACAAGTAAGGCATACTTATTTATTGCTAGCACCATTTGCACGTCATATCCACGTAAAAATGCCTATACATTTACGATCCGACGTATTATTTTAGTTCAGACGCATCGTGTGTGTCCGCTGCCTATCGATGAAAAATTTTATCTGGTGAACTAGTAAGTCCTATGTCCGGAAGATTTTAGTGAACGTTGAGTAGCTCTGTAAAAATTGTTTTTCAAAACGACAATATCCGAGAAATCGGCTCGAATAGCACTCTATAGGTCACTATTTGCGTCATCAGGCGAACTATTCTTGCCGGCGTCTTTGAAAGGTGGTAGGCTGAAGAGCTCTGGCTTGAAATTTCTCAGTGAGTCGACGCACATGGTGGCCCGCCGCTTGTTTTTTTCGTCCATCCGAGGGTCCGGAAGCATGACGACTTGCATTCCAGCAGCGAGGGCGGCAGTTACACCGTTTGGGGCGTCCTCGAATACTAACACCTAATCACACAGGTCAGAACAAATGTGTCACAATAATGCATGTTGCTACGCGAGTCGATATCACATGAATAAACAATGTTTTGTGCAAATGATACACGAAAATGGAAGTGAACTAGGACGGCCGCGAATGCTATACCCAAAAAATCTTGCACGGCATGTCGCAACAGCAATCGCATTCACTATATAAGATATTGGATGGTTGGTTAGTTGACTCATTTACTACCTTTTCCGTATTTCCTTTGCGCAAAACCCTGTTTAATCACGTATGACCGACTCGACCAGCAAAATACATGATTGAAATGCGTTTCCTCTACAGTGGGCCCTTTTTTGTGTTCAACCATCAGACTGTCCGATTTCATCTGCGATTGCTGCTGTGACCTGCCGTGCAAGATCGTTCACTCACTTTTCTGTGTGTTCTTTGCGACAACCTTGAAGTGATAGCTTTAAAATTCTGAATGGGCGTGCCTCATGCACGCCCATTCAGAATGATAAATTTCCAACAGTGAGCGGTTTGTTTATTACATAAGGTAAAAACTTGATTTTTTTTCTTGAAGGTAAGATATTGTGATTTAGTACTTGAAATTTTCACTAGCAAATAATCGTGTGATTTAAACAAAAAGACACAATGATGGGAATACAATGACAGCATATTTTCTGCAATGAGCTCTGCTAAATGAATTAGCGTTTACTCAAATGCTGTAACACCTTCGTTCGAAAGATCATAGGTAGAATGAGTCTAATACCACGTGAAATAGGCATGGATATTCTCTAGCGACATTTGATTTGACGTGTTCTACATCGCACGCGATACTAACGCATGGAAGAAGTGTCGGGGAGATTATAGGTAAAATGCGATTGCTAAAAGAGTGGCGGAGAAACCTAGCTATCACAGTTGTCGACCATATGTACAATCTTGCCGAGACATTAACTGTGCAACGGCATATTATTTATTAGAAGGCAACACCATTTCCAGCTTTGTTCGCATTATAGCATGATTTACAGGACACTAAGCTAAGAATACTTAAGTGCTGCTTGCTTGCTTTCAATGACCCTATGCGACTGCTATATAAGCATCTTTGTATACCATCAGACTCTTTTCATGTGAGCAAGGAACTCAGGATGCGAAGCGTTTCTTTACCACTGTTCCTGAAGAAATGCGATCTCGCTGTGAAGAAAGCAACGTTATTCTAATAAGCGATCTATTGAAAAGTTACAAAGTTTGATCCAACATACAGTGTGTGCTATGCTTCCAAATATGTACCCCAACTTCTCAGAATATTCAACTTGTATCGCTAATACTGAACCTTTTTGCAATACTATGTTTGCGCTCCTAAAAAACACAACAAATAATGACAACAACAAACAAGAACAAAAACAGGACCTAAATACTGACAAATAATTTAAAAGTACAAGACACACATCTGTGTGTTTTTACCATACAGGACCTGATTGGGGATACGTAATTTTGAGGAGTTTCTGCCCTTGAAGTTCATAACAGCTCATAAGGAAAGCTAGATATGGAAGACAATCTTGATATAGAAGAGAATGCCGATATCTTACATCAATACGCGAAACAAGTAAAAAACATGCCCGAATAAGTAAACGCGATTCGACAGCGTAGCTCGACCAATCACCGAACAAAGCTCACGAAAATCTCAGAGCTAATAAAAGAAAATTGATCGTTTTTTCAAATACTGCATTCGCATTGATTTCCAAGCAATAAAATTAGCTCAATAAAAAAGATACACTCACACAATTACACAAAATTTGTTATTTAACTGAAAATAATGTCCTGAAAACCTGTACAGTTATTGTCTTTAGGCTAGTGTCCCGTTGTCCTACGTTTAATACAAAAGTTCTCAACTTCAAGGCTCATTGCTTTTTAAGGAAGATGATAACAAGTCTAAGTTCATACTGTCAGATGATTAGCGCAACCTTAACTCCCGTAAACACTCACACAAACCCAACCTTCCGAGTAACATAAGCGACATTCGGGTGGTTGAGTGAGTGTGTGAGTGTTTGCGGGAGTCAAAGTTGCGCTAATTATCTTACTATATGACGAATAACCAACTAGCCCAACAACAAGTTTTGTGGAGAAGTCTAAGTTGAAAATTAGGATATCAGACACCTTTGCGGGTGGCGGCTTCCCATCAAACTGGGACGCGGCGACCAGGAAGATATCCGGGTGCGGCTTTCCGTGCTTGATCTCGGGGTTGTCGCCTGCGCAGACCACGTGGTGGAACAGTGCGAACAGCTCCTTGTGGTTTGCAGTCTTCATCGTGACTGCGACGCGCTTAGAGCTAGTAGCTATCGCCATGGGGATACTGTGCTTGTGGAGGTGTCGCACGAGCCGATCCACGCCTGCACAGAGCGGTGCTACGTTGCGGTTGGGCAGAACTCTAGACATAAAGCAATATAGAAGATTTTATGGTAAGGACACTTCATCTAGGAGGCTCTTCCCAAATCTCTGCCCGACGACAAACTTTCGTTGCACCAGGCAGTTTTGCCTCCGTCAGAATAGATAGATAGATACGTATATGAACAGATAGATTGTTAGATATAGAGAGAGACAGATAGAGATAGCAATAGAGGGTGAGGTAGAGATAGAAATAGAGATAGATATATAAATAAAAATATAGACAGAGGTATAGACAAATAGAGACATAGACAGATAGAGACCTACAAAGAGACAGACAGACAGACAGACAGACAGACAGACTGTTCCCTGACTCTTGAAGCAATTCAGGTAATGTTTAATAAGGCCCTGCAACACTTTCGTGACAGCCTTGTTAAGAATCGGAACGCGTATAGCAGTTATTACTCAGATAAATGCAACGAGAATGACGAACATTAGTGCACGAAAAGTGAAGTTATGGGTGCTAAAAATTCAAAACTCGAGCAGGCGACAAGAAACGTTCTCTTCCGCACTTCACTTGCCCACGGACGCCAAAGACTTCTATCACAGCGCGCGTCTCTTAAAGACGTAACGGAAATGTCACTTCATGGTGGCCACCACACAATACCTCGCTACCGCTGTTGGAGACGATCATTGTAGGGATACTTCAGCGCAAAATATTTGGTCTGTCTGTCTGTTTGTCACGTAAAACGGTTCAAGTACGACCACATCCGCAGCGCGCACGAATAATGTGCCATATTACGCATATCTGAGGCACAGAGTCAACACATTAATTTTCTGTGGTGCGTGTTTCGTACAGTGAGAGACACACATAAGTAATTCTATAAACTGTATCACTTATTAGGCTGCGCTGCCAATGTGACGCTATGCACGAAAAGAGGTTTCCTACCCTTTGCGAAGACAATACGGTGCTGCCACTTACCTTCAAATTTACAAAACATAGCCTCCAATATTTCACGCTCACGCTCGCTACAATTGATTGATGGATTGATTGAAAACTTTATTGGACTACGATGTGCTCTCGCTTGTTGGCTTCATCACTAAGGAGGCTATCCTTTCGTTTTCTGAAATTACCGCCAGATCGCGCTCATGCCTCACGCAGTGCCTCCAGTATTCCATTCACCCATGGGAAGCCAGTGCTGCCCAGGGGGCGTGACACCCTTCCTCCGTTACCCTTCCTACCCTTCCACCACACCTACGGATGGATGGATGGATGTATGTGGCTGTACCCTTTAAATCGGGCAGCAGCTAACGCCACCTAGCCGTAATACTTAGTTAACTAGCCATTAGATTTATCTTTTTTTTTTCTTTAAATAGTGAGGTTGAGCATTCGTAATTTGCAGTGAAGGGTTTATTTTCACTCGTGCCTTTCACTCACCAATCAGATAACCTCTTTCTAGATAAGTCTACCCACTTAAAGCCTATTTTGCCCTCCCCGTCCATAAACCCCAGTGCTTTGAAAAAAAAATGCCGCCATATCCACGAAGTGAATGATGATGAGTGGGCGAAGCTCCGGAGGTAAACCTGGTAAACCATAAATCCTCCGTACATTTTGCCCACTTGATTTTATTGCAACGCTCCCCCTAGCGTACGTCGCCGCACTATATCGAACGATGACACGCGCCATATGTGGCATCATTCCTATTTTATAGCACCTCGCATCTTTCATAATCAACTACACGTACCGCCGTCTAGTTTATAACATCTTGCATCTTTTGGACGGACGGACGGACGGGCGGACGGGCGGACGGACGGACGGACGGATGGACGGACGGACGGATGGATGGATGGACGGACGGACGGACGGACGGACGGATGGACGGATGGACGGATGGACGGACGGACGGACGGACGGATGGATGGATGGATGGATGGATGGATGGATGGACGGACGGATGGACGGATGGATGGATGGATGGACGGACGGACGGACGGACGGATGGATGAACGGATGGACGGATGGACGGATGGATGGACGGACGGACGGATGGATGGATGGACGGATGGATGGATGGATGGATGGATGGACGGACAGATGGACGGACGGACGGACGGACGGACGGACGGATGAACGGATGGATGGATGGATGGATGGATGGATGGATGGATGGATGGATGGATGGATGGATGGATGGACGGACGGACGAATGGACGGATGGACGGATGGATATGGCTGTACCCTTTAGATCGGGTGGTGGCTAGCGTAATACTTAGAACTGAACGAGAGGTGGCTACATACAGGGGACGCACAGCCCACGCCTTAAGGAGCTTCGCTCCTAAAACTCTGCGCCATCATCCTGAACTATAGGGTGAAGCCCTTTACAAAACATTATCAAGTGTTCGGCAGTTTCTTCTTCCTCTCCACACGCACTGCATACCGTGTCTACCCCTTTGTGTTTGGCCCGATATGTCTTGGTTCGCAATACTGCCGTCCTGGCCTAAAACAGTAGAGAACTTCCCCGAGTATTATCATAGATCCTTTCGAAACTTGAATATTTCCTGCTTAAAAGTGCGATAGATCTGTAGTGTGGACTTCTTAAACATGCCAATTCTCCACATATCGGTTTCAGCTTTCATCACCTTCTTCTTAACCGATCTTCCTCATAACTTCCTCATCCCACCAACTTTTGGGTTTGTGTCTTCTTTTCTGGGTTGACTTGTCACGCCTCTTAGCAAGCTCTAGCTCAAACAGTCTAATTAGACTCATGTATGTCCACACTGTTTTATTATCCTCTGTGATTACTTTCTCAATTCGTTATGTGGCTATTTCAATTTGCCTTTCTGGATAAAAAATTTCGTGTAGTTGCTCATCTTGTCTCCTTCCCACTTTCACTGCTCTTCCAAAACTTAGCTTGATAGGTTTGTGATCACTACTCAGACTTCTGGAGCCACCTTCATCTATGTGCATTCCACTGAGCTTATCATACATCCTATGTGACATCAGTGCATAATCTATCGTCGACTGCAGCCTTCCTACCTCCCACGTTATTTGCCCTTCACACTTCTCGGTACTGTTGCAAATGATCAAATCAAGCCTTTCACACATATCCATGATCATTTTGCCTGTCGGGTCGGTATACCCATCTATATCTTCTATGTGCGCATTCATGTCTGCTAGTATAGTTATCTCGCACTCTCTTCCCAACTTCCTACCCTTCGCACACTTGGCGCCACCCTGGCGAGCTGGCTTTGAAACAGGCGCACAGAGCCGCTGCGAGGTGTGCTACGGGCACGTTTTAACTAAAGCCCCTTGATGTTGAGAAGGTACCGCCTTCCACTGTACTCGCCGCAACGCGCTCGACCTCCTCTCTTCCTCCTCGCCCCCCTTCGCGTCCTCCCGGTCTACGAGTTTTCCTGCACGATGATCGGTCTCCTTCACGGCTTCCCTCAGAGACGCGTGGATCTTGCGCTTTGCTTGTGTTTTTTCCTTTGCGCTCACGCCATTTTTCGCTGACGCTCCGCGTACGAGACGTAGCGCGCACTTCGTTTTCTGTGATTTGTGCGGGCGCTATGCAGTGCTGTGTCGCCTATGACTGCAACAACCACCGTGAAAATAGTTGCACAATTTTTATGACACCCTAAGGTAAAAGCGATGGGTTGCACAAGCAGTAGTGGCTGCGCAACATCGGCCTAAAAAACTTTCTTCCAACAAAGAACAGTGTTCTTTGCGAGGTAGGGCACTTTTATTATTGCCCGTATCAAAGCATCACCGAATGCTTCATTTGAAATATTGTTTCGAACTGCTCATCAGCATACGTGTTTTTTAGGAGTGAAGTTCCTTATGCCGTGGGTAGTATGTCCTGCATCGTCGTAGTAGCCAGTTGCAATGCATTGGATGTCAAAAAAAAAAAGGCAGATTCCACGTACCAGGAAATGGACGTTATGCGAAGCATTTGGAGGGAAGGCGACCGTGCAGCAATTTTTTTATTGAGCGACACTGCTTAAAATGACGCTCAATATATGTACAAATGTTACACGCACAGAAATATGCTGAATAGCTGCAGATGTTTATATAACTGGTTGCTTGCACTTGAGCAACGATACCAACTGGAACATATGTATTAGCAACACGAGAAGCTGACATGAGGCGCAGATGCTCGCGAGGATGCTGACCGTAGACACTGGTACATAAATAAACCAACCACAATTGACGTTAAGCCGACGTGACGGCTGTATCAAAGGTGTACATATGTAATATTTGTGAAATTGGGTAGGCAGCACTGCAACTACTAATGACGCTTCAGGAATATTAGCGTGCATTTGAGAAGTAGTTACGAGACCTGGCGTAGCTTTGTGGTAAAATGCTTCATTGCCACGCAGAATGCTTGGATTTGATTCCAGTTGAAACCTTGCCATTTATTCTTTGCATTCGTCCGGTCGACACTACTGATATCGGGTATTTCTTAGCGCTTGCGCTTTAAAATTGCCCATGTGTTTTCTTGTCGTTTCTGGGTAGTTACTAAGTGCCAATCACTTGCAGCACATACCCGAATACCAGCGGCACATACCAACCTGGGTGTATGTGCCACTGTCTGTTGTCAAGTGTTTGATGACATACGCGACGGTATTGTGACATTATTCATGTCTTGTTGACCAGCGCGTTATATTCATCAAACCATCTTACTCTCACATGCTAATTTTGGTTCACGCCAAGGCAATGGGGTGACCACGAGAGCACCCAAACGTAAGTGGCTATATAGATGAATAGATAGATACGCTCACAGTCACCGAAGTTAGCTAAAAATGCTTCGCATTTAATAAAAATGGTGTCACAGTATATCCACAGAACGAACGATGATAAGTGGGACGAAGCGCCCATCTGCCCGTCCTTTCTTCTGTGCATCTGTGCGTCCATCCGTCCGTCCGCACGCTTCACCCCACTCGTCATGACTCACCTCGTGGATATGCTGTGATCTTTTTCTCGGCTATTGGTGCACTGCTTCTG